GGGGATACCAAACCCTTGAGGCAAAGCTGTTTGTGCGTAACATCATCACATCTGAATATAATTTGCCATGTATCCTACCTGCTAAAGTTGCCCTCCAATTGACTGTCCATTAACCTTGTCCCACAAGACTTGTGCCAACACGTATAAACAGTGAATGCAGGCACCAAGCAACGCCAACCCAATGCCAGGGGTATTATGCCATCCCTCAAGGTCAGGTTGACCTAAAAACTTGTGATGATGTAGCAGGAATTCCTTGACATCCAAGCAGACAGCATGGTGACATGGAGAGGTGTGTGGTGTACTACGATGGTGAGCTTGGAGGTCAGATCACAAGGCAATACTCAAAGCTGGTAGTAAACTCCAGTATCTGTGAAGAGAACGAACAAAAAAGACAGGGCATGGTTTATCATACATGTACAAGTACATGAACTTTCACATCAACATTTCAATACACGATGCCCCAAATTAGAAACCAGCAACAAATACCAGTAAATTTACAATGTATGTATTTCAAATGTTTTAAAAGGGGTAGAAGATATCGATAGCAGACACAAATGACACTAAATACCAGAAGAATGTCAACACACATACACCGTACATGTATCTACACTGTACATGTACATGTACATACACTGAACATATATCTACACTGTACATGTACGTGCATGTACTTATCAATCATTGCATTGATATGAGTTCCCTGTAAGATGAACAAATGCACTTTGGACTATTTACATTTAAATGATTTGAAATTGATAATACATTAGGAAGTGTCAAAGAGGATTTTGAGTCACTTTCACAGCAAATCATTTACAATGAATTGCAATAAAATTCAGATGCCATACCAGTACCGGTGTGAATTTAGCAGTGCATGTACATCTATGTGCATGCACATTCAGTTTTACAATAATTCGTATCACAAATTAAATGTACAAACCCTGAAAAAACCTCGTTTGCATTATGGGCAATTTTTTTGTCAAATAAATGCTTTGAATGAAGAGTAAATTTCTAAGACATGATCGTGCCATTCTGGAAGCCTCTCATGGTTAGCTCAAGTCAATTGATATATTAGAATGCAACTTAATATTAATCAGTGCATTGAAAAATGAAGTTCAATGACGCATGATACACTGAGTTCATTCTGTAGTATTTTGGAATTGTGGCAAAAAGGAATGCTTTTTCAAACGGATACAAAATGTACACACCAAACATGTACATGTATGTCCCGTACTTGTACCAGTATAACATTTTGAAAATGATCATACATTGTACCCCTCATGTTATTTTGTGGAAAAATTTGCCCCATCATTTATAACCAACTAAACCAAATATCTGGGGATAAAGACAGCCAATTTGCCAACAAACTACAGTATTAAGTTATGCACCAAAAAAGAAATTGAAGGGACTAAGATTTAAAACAGCAAGTCATTCACAGGTCGAACCAAACCGCTTGCCAGGACTGACTCCAGAAGGGCATAGTCAACCAGTCAGCAAAGATCAAGCCCTCAAAATGGTTAATGTCAACTTTTTCTGATACATGTACATGTATAAACCACGCAATTGCCAATCACAGCCTAGATGGTCAAAAATTCCAATCAATTTCTCATCAATCACATCCCACGCCTTTCCCTTTAAAGCTAAATGTACAAGTAGGCACCCGTTCATGTACTTGCGCACAATCTGTTCACGATCCATTATGCCATGAGTCAATAAAGGCACAGCAGCAACACACAGTAAACTTCAGTATTTGGTGACTCTGCAGATTCAAAAATCTCCTCAACGAGGCAGGTAACCACGGTACATGTACATCATTGTGTGTTCATCTCTCAAGACAAAGTGCTTTTGAGATCATGCTGACGTTTATTATTTCAAGAAAGGAAGAGACATGTACATGTAACATGTCTATAACGGTATGCATGCCAACAATTCACCTTCATCACAAGAGCAGTGACTGCATCTGACTGTGTTCAAAACTAAGTAAAAATTGATTTCAGTGTCAACATTTCCACAAACCATGGAAACTACAGAAATTGCAGGACTACTTGTACAAGTCACCTTCACTTCTAAGGATGAGAATGAAGAACGTGACCTCAGAACAACACTATTCCAGATTTTTGTAAACAGGTTTTTACCACACTGGCAATTCTTTTGATATTTTTCCTGAATCCAATGATGCTTTTCACCTTACGGTGTGTTACCAGCATCCGACCGACTACCAAAGTATTCATGGTTTCTCTCATCCTGTCCGATCTTGGTACAGTTAGTCTCTTTCTATTGGGGGAATTATTTCTTGGTTCTTGGCTGCTGGGTGATTTTCTCTGTGTGGCAACTGCTGTTCTCATATTAGTGCATGTATTTGAGTGGTACTTCACTTCTTCTACTGACAGTTGATGGTTACGTTGCTATTTCCTATCCTCTGCGGTACCCTTCCCTGATGACTGAGTTCAGATCCAAGATCACTGTATGCACCACATGGGCTTTGATATTCTTGATCTTTATTCTGTTATACGGGATTTTATGGTAGAGCTACCGTTTTACGGGAAGGCCCTTACATGTACCAACTGTGTCTGGGACTACAAGATGACTGGCGCATATACATGTATCTTCTTGTTACACCTGCTGCTATAATGCTGACAACCACACTCATCCTGTATGCCCACATCACCCTGATAGCTCGCAATCAAGCCCGACGTATTGCTGCTGAAAACCAAGCAGGTAATGGCCAAGGTGGACGGAGACTAAACACCAGACCAACCACCACCATCATCATCATAACAGGGACTCTGATCATCACATGGATTCCTACAATGGTCATACCTGGGATCTCTCTTACACTCAATCGGGAGACCAACATGTACATTGTATGATAGGTTTGGCCCATGCCCTGGTGCTCTCAAATGGCTGGCTGAATGTTACAGAACAAGGATCTTCGCCAGGAGTTACGTACACGCACATGTATGTTCTTTACTCTCTGAATAGCACAGGTTTGAATGGCACCAATGTTTGACCCAAAGATTCTTACATTACCACTATTCGAGTACTTCTTACGAGTCTGAGCATCTTGAAACACTCTGAACTCAATCTCAAAGTAATGTAGCCGTCAGCTAATTGTTACGATTAATTCTTGTGAATATGATTTGCATTTCAAATTTTAGATTTCACGCACAAGTATACAGGTACATGTTTACACGTACAATGTAAACTGCTTTGCTTCGATGTACAATGGTAAGTGATATTTTGGTTGGATATGCTTGTAAATCCTCTTGCATGAGTACAGTATGTGAACCCATGGCTGCCGGTGTACATGGGATTGTATGGGGTGGTGCATGACAGAGGCACATGTACATGTAGCCATGTTCCGGTTCTGTCCCCTGTGACTTTGGCTCCTTTTTTGGCCACATCTCTCAGGCCACAAGATGTTACATACAAACATTTCAGTTTCTTTCAAGCACCCCCCCAAATTTTGTTCTTGTGACATGTGTGAAGTGATAGAGAACTTCACTGAATGTACAGTGCGTTAATGACCATAAAAGACCAGCATTGACTACACACAGTTTGGCTCCAACAAAGACCACTGGGTATATAATTCTAGAAAAATGTTTTGATGTCATCACTTTCAAGATGACTGTCCAATAGTTGCAGACGATATTTGCAAATGTCAAACTTACCAATACTTGTACTTGATTTTACAAGAAATCATCCAGTAAACCTACTGGCTGGAATGTGTGATATAAACATCGAGGGGACATACATGTAATGCTCACTTTCCTGTTTGATTTTTTTTCCTTAAATATTTATTAAAATTTCAAATTCACAGTATACATGTACATGTACTGTATGGAGAACAGAAAAAAATCCATATCTTACATGCTAGATCCAAAATTGTATCCAACAAACGACCAAAATTTTCCTGGCTTTTCTCACCCAGCCTGATCTTTGCACTGGTACACGGTATACTATAGAGCTCTCTCAAGTTAATCTTGAAGAGCAGAAGATTATTATATTGCTATTTCCTATCCTCTGTGCTACTCTTCACTGATGACAGATCAAAGATTGTCGTAAATGGCAAACACTACACTGTACAGTACATGTATATGTACGTGGGCTGGACTGGTACCCGGTACATGTACAGAACATACATGTACACTGTACATGTACCTAGGCCTACTGTACATGTACATTATGTACATTGTACCAGTATACATGTGCTTTCTTAATCTTTATGCATGGGTTTTATGACCCAGCAACTTACTGATTCTTCACTGATGTACCTAATGACTGGAGCTAATTGTTGCATTCCTTGTTGCAGTTATCATGTATGAACTGTGCACACATTGCCCTACATGTACATGTACTTTTAAGCCTGACACATACATGTACATGTAGCTGGCCAGGGTGAGCAGAGAATAATATAAGACCAGCAACCATCATCGTTATAACAGGGACTCCAGACAATGCAGGCGCAGCTTGGTATCCACCACTGAATCCAAAAAGTAGATGTGCATATATTGCACTACATAAAATGTGTCATCAGGGCATTGTTATTTACTACATGGAGTTCAATTTCACCATTGAAATGACACCCACATGTAGGGCCTACATGTAATTCGTCTAAATCCATCAGCCTTGTCCCTAGATCTACAAATTTGAAGGCCCCACTTGACAGTGCATTTGTTGTAATGGAAATAAAGAAACTTTGAACTCTTCTTGTATCTTTTTTAATTTCATTTCTTAAAAATGTTGGTGCTTTTTGGGTTATTTAAAGAATAAACCATGATGAAAAGGAGGAACCTGACCTGAAAACTAATGTAAAATGGCACAAAATCTACCCAAAATCCACCCAATAAAAACCACTGGCCATCTGTTTCCATTATACATGTAGTCTAATCGGATTGCACAAATTCAGTCACTTGACTTCTATTTCAGCCAACATGAAAAAAATGTGACTTCACCATCAGATTTAAATCCACAAACATCGAGAAGGTTAAACGATGATCTCCAAAGAAACTGTTTTAAATCTCATGTAAGCACAGCATGCTAGGAAAGTTTAATTGGGTTCAATGTGATGTGCATGTAAGTCATGTAATTTGCTAAGTTTTACAGCCAAGTTTTGCACCATTATCAGGACCAATCATTATGCCTCACCGGCAGCACATCGGTCAGTTCGGGACTTAAAAATCACTTTCGCATCATTAGAATGCACTGAAACTTACAAATGTTCACTGTTTCACCACAAGAACTGGATTGAAAAACACATACATGTGTATATGTACATGTAGCACTACGACCCTTGAAAATGGCATCATCACTTCTAAGTCACACGGAGTCCTAGTACATGTAGCATGGAGTTCTAAGACATATAAGTCGAAGTACACATGTACAATGTACATGTAGGTCCCCAGAGCATGACATTACTAAAGAACAAAAAGCTGTTCATTACTTTTTATTCGCATCTTGTTCCAATAATAGTGGAAACAAAGTCCACTTTGTAGGTGTGGTGCTTCTGGCACACATATTGTTCGCCTGTCCACTCTTACACACGCACACACACAAGGCTTCATCACACGAGATACAAAGTCACTGCTAAAAGAGCAGTTCGGATAACGAGTTTATTGCTGCCTACAGTGCAGTTCCTTGACCAAACAGATCCCGACTATAGCTGATTGTCCGGTTCTGCAAAATCGAAGAAATACTCTTCATTTTCTTAAAGAAGGAATCACCAAAGACTTGGTTCATAGTTCTGTTAGACAGGTTACTTGAAGGTCTTTTAGGAAATTACCATATTTTACTGAGGGAGCCACCGCAGTGACCCATGATCAAGTGGCCACAACTGTTTTTCCCTGATCGCAGTTCGCAACAACTCTGCATGTACGTGCTCTGTGCTATGTTGAATATGTTGCACTTTTACAAATGTACACAATCGTCATGATGAAATTTTATCAAACGAATGACTGTGCTGTAATCGGAAATTATCTGATTTCTCGCCATGAATATACTACGACAGTATTTTTAAAATGTGAAAGTTTTGGACACAAAATTCTCTACAAGGTTTTTGTCCAGTTCTGTGAACGAGTTTTACATTTGATTACATTACAATGTGAGCGCTTCCTGTGAGTGTGGTGCATGTCCTTCTGTGTTGGAAAAACAAGACCTACATGTACCATACAGACATGACAGAGTGTCGAGGTTTGTGGAACCGGCAAATGTTTGCGGAACGGAAAACTACCAACCACCAAAAAACATCACTAGCATGCATCTTTCAAATGACTGCCCAACATTGTTATGTCTGTGTAAACAGTACATACCGGTAACTGGATGATTTCCAGGTATTTCGGGATGAACAGGTGGAAGGAGTTCCATATACACGTAGGGTGTTACAGACGCCACTTGACACCCCGTGCACAAACCCTATGAGACAGGTAACATGATTTGTCAGTATACGACTTGGTATTTCCCTTCCTCCTACATGTAAATTGAACTTTTCTGGACAAGGTTTTTGCTTTGTGATGGCTTAGCATAGGTCACTGTAGGGAATAATTACTGGCATCCATGAAAGAAAGTTTTTAAGGCACCAGTCGTGCTTACGTATTTCGTGTCAACAAGTATCAACACTCATAAGTAGCTTCAACAAAGTGTCAACAACATGTACATCCTGTAGGCCCTAGGCCGACTTTACTAGGTAGTATGACACCCAGGTGACGGAAAGTTTCTGTTTCCCAAACAACCCTCTTTTTAGGGCGTATTTCCGTTTTATTTGTGGACAGCAGTAACTTGCTGTCAATGTTACCGATAATGAAGGAAAAATAATATTCAAACATTCATTACTTTGATTGAAAACTCTACCTTTTCGTCTCACGTTCCTGGTGGTCAACACTCGTCCGTCCCGCCATTGCGTTTTCTGTCCAATATAAAGCGCCCTCTGTTGAAAAAAAGAACAGCGCCCTCTTCTGAATTTTGAAACAACTCCAATAAATAGCGCCCCCTATTGATAACAGTGATGGCGCCCTCTATTGAGCTATGCGAAATAGCGCTAGGTTACTGGCGCCCTCTATTTAACAGTGAAAACATGAAATAGCGCCCTCTTTTATTGATGACAAATAGTGAAGGGTGCACGGTTACTCAAGTCTAAGAAAATTCTCCACCAGGACGAGGTGCATATACGATTCAATTTTTAAACAGTCCATATTTATCTTTGTATTGTCTTGTTTTTCCCTTCTACACAGAAATTTTTGAAAATTTGGGGTTGGGGATGGGTCAGGCAGGGGGTCGGCCTGGGGGTGGATGTGAGAGTATACCAAAACATCCCCTATTCTTTTTTGTCGTGTTTTCTATTGTTTTGACAACATAGCACCCTTAAGGGCACATCCAAAGTCGATGGAAGAAGCTGATTAACATTTCTTTATTGGGCCAAAACTTTTTTATGTAACCTTTTGCAACCTTTCTAGGGGTGGGGCTACATTTTGAAGGAAATTAAGACAGGCCCAAATAAAATGGACTCTCTTGCCAAAATATCACTGCTCCTTCTCTTTTTTTTTTCTTTTTTTTCTTTTTTTGAGAGAGAGGGGGTGGGTTGGAGGTATGACCCTAACCCCTCACTTCCCCATGCATCCCCACACTGTCACTTGTCTCAATTCTGTTATAACTGCACGATAAAATTTAAACTCACCATCACAGGTACAATCCATGCAAATAGCAAAACACGGGCATATAATGACAAATGTCAATAAAGAATTTAATGTATATTTTTTTTATTACAAACAGCATGAATATGTAAATAGTAATCTACTCATTGAAAAACTTTAACTTGATGCATATATCCATACATTACTCGAACAAGTAAATTTCTTCCGAGTGTATACAAAACAAGTTAATTAGGAATGATCAGTTAATGAACAAATGAAAAGGTTCATTAATGGAAAAGCAAGTTCTGGCAAGTCAGCTGCGGATTTTACAAATTACAAGCATCTGATTATTATGCATGAGCTGCTAATATTGTTAAACAAGTTCAACATAGCAATATTTTCCTGCACATGACCATAATAGGTTAAAAAGCTGCCCTTGAAAAGCTTCACAGAGAAATACTTTTCGAAATAATGTCATAATTCAAATAAACTTTTGTTGGCTTTTAGGTAGTTAATGATTAAAATGAGAGAGATAAACATGGCATAAACGGTTACAATTTAACAACAAATGTGGCACAATCCTAAGTTGGTAAAGTTTCCTAATTTCAGTGTTGGATTCCCAATGACAAAACCCTGTACTATTTTAAGGAATTCTAATTAGGGCATCTGATTTGCAATGTGTTCTCAAATTCTGCCAACTTTCATTTCCTGGCTGTTGAGAATTCCTGCATACGCAATGTGAAAGTAACGTGGGTTTTCACAGCTCAACTCAACAAAGAGTGGTACATTCAACGTCCTTTTTGAAAGCATTTAATGCAGACTGAATGCAGATGCTACTGCGCTTCCAGTAAAGAACTTAGGCATTAATATCACTTTTGTGGTAACATATGGATATTTCAAATTAGAATCATTCACTTTAAGACAGCACATACAGGACTGTCTTTGCAAACCATTTTACTCAAGTCTGCAGATTGCCCACTGATAATCACACTTTCCCTCATCGACTGAAACTATTGTTGTAGTTTTTTGCATTTAGTTTACTATACTTTCTCTAGCACTCTTTCTAGTTCTGGTATGGCCACAGCAATGTCTGTATCATTATTTTCCATTATTGCATCCTTGGTTATAAGTCTCATTAGGTTGAAGAGCATCAATGTCCAGTTATTTCATGTTTTGTCATATCTTGCACATTTAATTATCAATTACTCGGGTAGCATATATCTGGGTATTTATGTTGAAAATTTAATTTTGTAAATGTAACAAATGCAGAGTAAATATAACTTTTCCTATTTGGAAGCATCCTATATAAGTTTGAGAGTTTAGATGATCTTGTAAACTTGATAAGTAGCGACTACAGAGTGATGACCTCACAGTCTTCTTCCCCTGTAGCACCAGGACCAACGGTAGTACGTCCATGTGGACAGGCTTGGCAGTAGGTGCTGCCCTCTTGTGACTGGTACATGCCATGCGGGCAGGCATAACAAGCCTCCTGGTTGTCGTAAGAGCCTGGCTCACAGGGGACTGAACAGAGAAAATCAGAGATAAATAGCATTATTCAATGACTGTCATACAACGTTCTTACAGGATCCTACAACGCTTAAAGATCATGCAAAGGTGGATACTTCACACTGCGCAGCGTCACTCATGTTTTTTAAATTGCCCAGCACCACAGCTGCTCAAAGGGTACGTTATCACAGCAAAAGATATTCCTTGAATCAAGTAATCAGCAGACCTCTTCAGGCTGATTAGCACTACATTCAACAAGCTCATGAACCTTCCACGCTGACACTCGTTAGTATAAAGCGAGCACATGTCACAGGCTATTCAAATGATATATGACAAAAGTATTCCTTTGTCAACTGTGAGTCCCTTTACTTACATGAATGAGCAATTTTGTGAAGGGACTTGGGACTGGACTTGTGATGGATCCATCTATAACAACTGAATTCCACTGACAGCGTCAGTCCCACGCACTTTACACACCGTAGCTCTTCTGAGTAAATGTTCATACAAAACGAGATGTTAAAACAAGGCAGCACTTACCACATCGTGCATCCCGTAAACTAATCCGCACCGAGCCATGGGGACAGACTTGTGTGCCGTAGGTCTGGGTCCTCTCAGTGTCTATGTCATAAACCTGAGCATCCATTTTCACAGCAAACAGGCCTGACGCAGAATGATTGATCAGACGAAGCGCTGAGTCTTGCAGTTCATTGATGGCCTCCACCATGCTGCTTTGGGTGGACACTGGATGGGTTGTACAGAGAAAGAGGACAGATAGTCACATACTAAACTATAGTCAGATAGTCAAACTATAGTCACATATATAGTTAAACTATAGTCACATAGTTAAACTATAGTTACTATAGTTACTATAGTTACTATATTTAAACTATAGTCACATACTAAACTATAGTCAGATAGTTTACTGGTCATCGTCCAGACCTATATATCATCCACGACCTCCCTTTATATTTCTCTTCACCTTCAGATGAAAAATTTACAGCATGTTTTGAAGTTCGCTAATCTTATCTCAGTCACTACGCCACTGCCCTCATTCCAAGTGAAAGTTTTCTCCACTGTACGAAAGGTGAGAGCTTGAAGGCTGATCCCATTGGTATAGCATGCTCAAAACATGGCTTACCGCCTTAGCCAAGAAATATCTGGTTTGACCAAGTAAATGATTGCTACATATACCAATGTTGTCTTGTCATGGAGTATATTGCTAACTTTTGGAAGTGACTGAATGGAAGGTAATTATAGGAAACAATAGCTGAGGCCATTTGAAGTTGCAGCAGCCACTCTGAGCAACAACTTTCAGCCTTCTTCCGTGTCCATCGGATGAGCAAGGAGAATAGACACTCAGCTGCTAATCTGTTTTGAACTTTGCTGTTTGTAGCTGTCATTACTTTCTTAATGAATATTTGAATGAATTGAACCACTCTGAATGGCCAATGACCGACCTGCTCGCTAGTTTATCATTTATATATATATGTAAATGCGATCGTGTATGATACCTTGTGCACTGGTCAGGTTCTGTTGGTCAGGGACATGGACATCCCGTTCCAGCCTCATGGTAATTTGGATCGGCTCAACGGATCGACGGCGACGTCTGCGGGTGTGGTCTGCTGAATTCTGGGTACTGCAGCCACTGACCTAAGGTGTAAGGGATCAACATGATGTACACATCACAACCAATGGTTTATGATCAAGTTCTGTAAAGCATCTGCTGGAGCTGTGTCCAGATCAACTGGCTATGGCTGAGTGTAACACACAGCTCTCTAATACATCAGCTCAGGCTGTGTCCAGATCAACTGGCTGTGGCTGAGTGTAACACACAGCTCTCTAATACATTAGCTCAGGCTGTGTCCAGATCAACTGGCTATGGCTGAGTGTAACACACAGCTCTCTAATACATCAGCTCAGACTTCTAATGGAAACAACCCGTGAGGTGAGGATAAAACATTAATTTCACAAAAGGGAAAGATTTGTGTGTAAACATTTATTAATTATTATTTGCCACATAAAGCCAAAAAAGCCTAGGAGGGCATATTTGTGAGGTGGGCTGCCATACGTCTGAATGGGTAAGAGCTGGCGCATCAGTGGCCAACAAATCACTGCATCAAACGACCGCTCTGATACCGCATTGTGTTTGTTACTGTGGTGATCTACTCTACACGTGCACAATGAAGACATCAAGGCTAAGTGCAATTGCAGTGAGAAGACGTAACAGCGAGCACTTGCCTCATCGGTTGTGTAGTTCCTTGTTAAGCTATAAACGGTCGACTTACCTGGGCACGTCTCACAGTACAGGAGCTGTCCTGCACACAGCTGAGAGACTGTAGGTTCAAGGTGATTCTGTCACTGACTGACTGATAAACCAGGCTATCTCTAACAGGGTCAACCCCATTACAGGTCAGGTCAGTGGAGTAAGCCAGGTTCATCTGCATGGCAACCTTATTAGGGGGCCTGAACTCTGCAGAAGACAGGAATGTGAAGAGACAACTGAGCATGCTCTGTAACTCTGTCAAAACAGTGGTAACAATGTGAAGAGACAACTGAGCATGCTCTGTAACTCTGTCAAAACAGTGGTAACAATGTGAAGAGACAATTGAGCATGCTCTGTAACTCTGTCAAAACAGTGGTAACAATGTGAAGAGACAACTGAGCATGCTCTGTAACTCTGTCAAAACAGTGGTAACAATTATAATTGGTTTAAACTTGTTACAAATGGATTCTTATTTTAGAGGTTGGCTACAGGCCTAAATTCTGTTTATGTGATCAAGTGATTCACACATACATGTAGATGTCAGATCTTGCTATGCTTGTGATGTAACCTACAATCATCACCTACATTTGATGCTGCACAAAGGAAAATCTAGCTGAACCAGTATTTGAACTTTAAATCTTTTGAATACATTTCTGGTGCATTGCCAAATGAATGATCTAACTGGTCCAAAGACCAAGGATGAATGCCGAGTCCCATGGTCTAGACGCTGCTCTGCAGGTGCTTATCTGTCGTGAGCAGAAATGATAGGTGGGATCTTTTCACATAGCAATGATGGTCCTTTGGTGCAAACTCATCATGACTGTGCACAGGTTCACGCCCATTTGGCACTCACGTACTGAGCATGTGCAACCAATTTCTGTTTGAATGCACAGTCTCTGCATGTAAGCCAGGCATATGCACAAGCCCAGTTGAAAATCTTCCTAACAAGCTGTCTCTTCTTGGCTGGATCAGGAAAACCTTAAACTCAGGGTGGGTTGATTGTTGAATTGGTTTTGGTGAGATGAGACAGTCTGCTGGCATTATCTGCTGCACTGGACAATAACTGTTGGAATTGGTTGACAAGTGATAAAGCAAACAGCACAGGTGATGAAATCGCACTCACTTGTACACCGCGGAAGGGCCGCTCTTGGATTGTCCTGTGTCTCGTGGGACCACCTGTAGTTGGTAGATGGGCCACATCGGTAGAAGGGTAAAACGGCCCGGCTGAATGCGTAGCCTGGCCAGCAGGAGGTGGTACAATTCTGCTCCTCTCCTCGAAGTTGGCAGACTAGGTTTCCTTTGGAGGGGCGTGTCAATTGCCTACAGCCTGAAAGAAAGTGAGAGACAGAGTGGTGAAAACCGCTCATTGCAGGGCAACTTTCCTAAAGTTCTCATCTGTGGACTTGTTTTTTCTGCCTGTCATTATGAAGTCCAGAATACAATGGAGGGACAAGGAACCTGACTATATCTCATTTAACACTCAGGCTGCATTCGAATCTCTTATCTAGAGCTAGGTCTAGGTCTTCACTCCATTGGAAATACGTGGAGACGAGTAGACGATAGACCTAGCCGTAGCTCTGGAAGCCCGTTTCGGACACGGCCTCAGCTCAATCCTGCCTTACGTGGTACATGTAGGTGCAGATGGAAGTGTGGCAGAGCCACAAATTAGTTAGTGATTGAACCCCTTCACGCCGGATTCTTTTGACCGTGACTGTTGGGCTGCGGTATGCCCAGTATGCAAAGCTTTGCCCATCAGCAGGCCCCATTGAACCAGCAGCTGCACGATGAGAATGTATGTGTGGTACGCACTAATCCTCACACAATGGTGCGGCATTTGCCGTCCTCCGTCACAAAGGGGTTAAGACACTTTTTGCATAGCAGTAGCTCCCCCTTTAAAATATTTCGCCTTAGTTTAGAGTCCCCCTTCCTTTTCCTAGTAGTGTGTTCCCCTGTCAATTAGTTTTGCCCTAGTCTCCCCATATAATGCAGCCACATCGTCTGGCCACACTGAATGTGGCAAATCAGCAAGGACCAGTCATCTTATATGTACTGTTCCTCCTAACTGGAGTGTGGTTTTCTGCTTGAGTCCTGGCTGCTAGAAGTCAGTGATTGAAGTCATATACTCATGAGGTCCATTTTACACACTGTGTTGGTTAACTGGTTCTTTGTTTATCTCGATTTTAATTGCTGGTTTACTGTGTTGGGTTTTTAGGTTCTCCATTTCTAAATCTCTGGATTTGGTGAAGTTTTATTGAATTTTCATCTTTTTTTTAGGTTTAATAGAAGTAGTTGGTTTTTCATCTGATTGTTTCAGCAAATAAATTCTTTTGGCTATTTTAATACCTAGAAGTATGTGCCTGAGTCCTTATTTATTCAGTTTCTTCCCTGCGACGAGTAGTTAGTTCTTCTGTAGTATCGCAAGTTCCCTTTTGTAAGACTTAACGTGCCATTTTTATGTATTAAAAATGGATGAATGTTATCTGTGAACCAACTGAGTTGCACGACACAAAAAGAGTTCACAAACAGATGGCATAAGGCTCTGACCATCCTAAGCCAAAAACCTTTCCACGTGTGAGCTACTGCTTTTTAAACTTCCAAGATGGAGTGAAATCAGTGAAATGGCCTAACGACTTCACAAGCTGGTGTGGTACTTGAATGCAAGTTTCAGGCAGATAGTTTAAAGTTTCATATAATTTTTGCTCATCCAATCGCTCTGCGCAGCTGGTCAATTCTGCTTGAAATTTTCAACTTTACTTCCCTTTTTTGAAACAATCTTTCACAGCTGTGAATAAAAGACTATAGGCAATTGGCTGATGGGAGATTATTGACAAATTGTGCAGTAAGATTGATCAATCACACAACGATCAAGTGACTGACCAACTGCGCCAAATGTAATACACCCTAACTTGGGCAGGATTCGGCCGATGCTCCAATCACTGGACCTGCACAGGTGCCCCTGCCACTGGATGGCAACGATGATCAGAGATCTGCATTACACTGTTGACTCTGCAGTGAATGGACCTACACAAGGACCACCCATATGAGATAAGATGGATGGTGATGGCACTCACTAGGGCATGGTCCGGTGTTGCACTGTTGGGTTTCAGAGGTTGGACCATCACAGGTGCTACCGCCATAGGCTGGGCGGGGGTTGGTGCAGGACCGGCGACGGGTCTGGGTACCACCTTCACAGGACCGGCTGCAGTCACTCCATTCAGTCCACTCACTCCAGCCTCCATCAACTAGTTGTAGAAAAAAAAATGCTTAAAATTGTCCCTCTTAGTTCAAGGAATGGGGAAAATGAATTCTTTGCAATTCTTTGAAATTGCAATAAATGGATAGTTTTAGCATTGTCCACATAGCTTTGCCATACTAATTCAAACATATTCATCAGTAAATGCAACTTGAACATTAGCCACCATTTACATTACATACTGGTGTGGGTGACGTTTTATTTCTCCACTTTTGCAATGTAGTCAACCTTAAAGATGCCCGTTTTGTTCTGCGTTGTCACGATATTGTTCCATTCTTCAATAAATTGTAATATTTTTCAGTTGTCATGACTGTACCTCTTCTCAGCTCACAGGCTTGTCCCGAGAACCCCAGTGAGCACTGGCAGGTGAAATTGCCTATCCCATCAACGCAGGTTCCTCCATTGTCACAAGGGCTGGAGTCTGTTCCACAATCGTCAATGTTTGTCTGACAGCGTTGGCCAGTGAAGCCCAGGGGACATTGGCAGATAAACTGATTGACATCATCAATGCAGGTACTGCCTGAAGCACAAGGGTTGCTGGCACAGTCGTCCACCACTGGACAGAGAGAAAAAAAAATCAGGTTGACAATGTTCAGTGCACAATCTTCAGGTCACTGCCAACAGGAGCAATCCCGATGAGATCTGAAAGCTTTTCATGGTGGAGATAGCAAGTAAATCAAGGAGCAATCCATAATACACTGTGACACCAAGTACTGGCCTAAGGCATCACTGATTGATAACAGACTACTATTGGGCTGCCACTGATGTGAGCTGATTTTCAAAGAAATATACTCTCACATGACTGGTTTTGACCACACAGTGTGTGATGGAGTACTATCTGGACCAACCAGCACAGCGGTCTTGAATCGAGACTATGCACCACAAAGTATTTGTAGTGCATTTTTGTACTTTACAATTAACTTTCTCTCGACATCATCCTGCACTGAATAACTGGTCGGGCACTTTGTGTCACTTTCAGGGCCAAACCAGCACCAGCCTATGTGGCAGTTTTCCAAAACTTGGCTGCCTCTGTATTCAAAAGCTGCATTTTCACAGATTAAGTCATATAACTAGACCCCCATACATGCCATGTGCTCCATGCATCTCCATTTTCTGTCACAGATATATCCAGTGGTAAAAGTATGGGGCCAAGGCTCTGAGGATGTTCATTCAGTCTCAACAGCACAGATTCAAACTGACTGTGGAGCTATATGTCTGTGCACATGTTTTGTGAAGGCCAAAACAAAGTTGAGATTTTGAGGAGGGTGCAATGTTGTGTCACTATTTGTGACCTGTTCTGCGAACTGAATAAATCATAAAGCAATTTTTTCTCAGAAATGTTGTTTCAGTTTGTAGTTGGTTTGTATGTATCATTCATTTTGGTATCCTCATAAATATGGACATTGAGGGTGAAAGTGTTGAGAGTTTCACTGATTTCAAAGGTATGGGCTCTTTAAAAGGCCTGTTACTCAAATGTGGCTCGGTCACTTGTGACTCAATTTCCCCATAACAGGTCATATTTTACTGTCAGGAGTTGGCCACTCATCAGCACCTTCTGCACAGCCGTGAGTCCACTGTGCATTTGTTACTCAAACTTCTCTTTCTTGGCCACAAAGCTTGAAGTCAATTTCAAAGCAGTCCAGCAGTTTATTTATTCACCAAGTATGATACTACATCAATGCTAAGAATTGATCTGTCACTTATCCAGGGGGGGAAAGAATGGCTTAAAAGGGGCTGGACTACGGGACAGATCAAAGCCTCACCGTCACACTTTGTAGGCATAAAAAATTGGATTCGTCCAAGTGAAGCCTTGTCCATGAAGTCAGCAGCGGCGATAACATTGCCAGGGGCAACCTGGTCGCAGGTCTGCGCGTACTGTTGAATGACAGAGGCAGTGTGCACTGCATCCCACAGGTGCACGTTACTCAGGGAACCGGTGAAACATTCCAACTGGGTATCAGCTACAGACAATAACAATATAAAAGGACACTGCTCTGTCAAATGTGTAATGACCAGATATAAAGAAGCCTAAAAGAGAAACACTTTGGGGCACGATGCTTGCTGGTATTGTCTCACGATGAAATTGCTTTTTATTAACTTCTTTAGGAAACTTTACAATTTTTTAAAAACAACTTGATCTCACATAACTAGCTAACACATAACAATCTCATTGCAATCTGGTGACACAATCAAATCCATGCATCACCTCTCATGTGTATGCACTTGTGCTCCCACACAACTGCACTGAGCCAACAAGTGCTTTGCTTAATAATGAAATATGGAGACACCATAGAAAAACCACTGTTACAAAGGAGAAAGCCAACCAACCACTCGACTCATCATCACATCAGGAATCAATCGCAGGACTACAGTGAGAGGTGAGTGCTTCACACTCAAGCAAGTCCACACATCCATACAAATGGGATGTCGTTTTCAACAACTGTAGTAGCTTCAGAATATGCTCCAAAAAATTAGTACATTTTATATGCTATGCAAGCATTATATGAGCCTGTGCTAACTTTCTGTGCTTACATTCCCAAAACAACTTTGGAGGAAACTCAGTGTGGTGTACTCACCGGCATTACGTAGCTCACCCAGCATGAACTCCCCTCCACTGTCAATAACAGTGCCCGGTCTGATCATGAAACCCATCGTGTACAGATACCCATCTCGGTAGACCCTGACAACGCCACCGTGCTCGTTCCATGAGATGGCAAGGTGATGCCAATGGTCGTCATTCACAGAGATGGAGGAGGAAAACTGGTACCTGTGCCACGAGGACAAAGCAGCAGGGATTATGATGTTGATACGCTGATGTCACAATCTCATCTGGTTCCCGACTGACTAAACAATGTATATTATCTCCATGTCAATCACAGCCATTCACAGCATTCTATTTCAACATTACTCATTATTCCGTTTTGTCTCACTTAACTACATGTACAACAGCTCCATCATTTAACAATGGACTGCTCTCACGGGGGAAGGTTGCTAGTAATCGATGGCCTTGCTAACGGCCATGCAGCATGGTTCTTTCACACACAGTTCTGATGACAGTATTTCCCCAATGGTCCAGTGAATCGGTCAATGCAAATGGCCAACATTCCAGTGCTGAAAGTTCCACGTTGAAAGGGGTCCACTGGGTGGTCCGGATCGATTGTTTCCACGTTTTGATTCCAGAGACTTACTCCAGGTAAGTCAAGGGAAGAGTTGTCAAAATGAGAGGAACTCACCCTTGAATGTAGACTTGCAATGCCCCAGGATTGCTGATAGCAAACTCTGCATTGTCCAGTGTCTGTCCCGAGCTCTGGGTTGTATACGCTAGGATGACTCCCTCAGCTGTAGCCGTGCGAATCCACATCATTATGGTGAACGCTGCCAGTGGTTCGTTAACAGCGTGACTCAAAGTAACAAATTGCATGTGTCGACTGCCACTGAACTCCATGTCAAAGTTGGACAGTGCATCTGGTGAGACGGGTATTAAGAGCCAATGTGTAACAATGCCCTACCACAAGCGCCAATGAAAAGCAATGAATTCAGTCTCTTTTCTGTTTTGTGCCAACAACGGGCTGAGTCGCACTCAAATCAATGATACTGCATCGCGTTCACATTTGTCTGAGGACGGCCAAAGTGCCCATGGTATATAAATGCGTATGTGGTCTCGTGATGTCCGAGGACGGCCAAAGTGCCCATGGTAAATAAATGCATATGTGGTCTCATGATAAACTCTGGAATCCCCCAAAAAAGGAATGCAAAAATCTTACGATGGCTGCAATATGTGCCAATAAATCCTGGTCTGCATCTGCACTGGTATTGGTTGACACCATCAATGCACTGAGCTCCATTTTGACAAAGGTGGCTGTCACATTCATTGATATCCTGCTCACATTCAGGGCCACTGTAATCAGAAACACACAGCAAACCAATACTATCGTCTTGCTTCACACTGTCATAGTGTTACCATTAACTGCATGTTAGAGAGAACTCCAATGAATACAAATCATGAATTGTACCAACCTGTAGCCTGGTGGACAGTCACAGGAGTACATGTTGAGCCCATTGACGCATGTACCACCGTGCAGGCAAGGGTTGGGTGTGCAGTTATCAATAGCTGCCTCGCATCGCAACCCGGTGAAACCTGAAGGAGACATTGAAAGTGACACTACTAACAACTCCCAACCAGAGTGCCTGATTATCCCAAGAGCTTCCACACTACCGTTTGCAGGCAATGCAAACCAAAAGGGAATAAAAATTGAAATTCCAACTGCATGGGACGTGTTTTCCTGATATGCATAGCTTCACATTTTTTGCCATATTCTTAATCATTCCACAACCCGCTGTTCAGTGTATCAAATTATGCTGTCGAGAAAACAAAAAGCAATGTTCATTTGCACATCAAAACTGGTGAGGAAATTTCATTTTGAGTGCTAAAGCATAGACGGAGCAACAACTTGTTCTTCCATGTACCCCAACTTAGCACGACTGCCTTTCGAAAGTACACTTGAGTTTCTGGATCCAAAATATAGAATTTCTCCGCTACCTTTAAGCACAAACTGGAGTTATATCTCCTGTAAATTTATACGTTCCAATCTGTACATTTTCTCTAATCCAGTTTAACAATTTCCCATCCCAAATCCTCTAACTGTACATCACAAAACTAACTTGCGAGCGTCCTCCTTGTATATTCACCATTACCTGGGTTTTTGGTTTGCCAGGTTTTTGCTCTTAAATGGGGTCTTGGACTTTTCTATGTGTTTTGGTGTACACAGCATGCTTACACAAGCTGTTGCTTATTTAGGGTTTTGCCACCATGTCTTAAAATTGATTTTCTGATTTGTAACTGTTAATATTTATGTAATACATGCTACCATAAAGGGGAAATAATACTATTACTAACTTTGTAAGAGCACAAAGCGATCTACTGTTTCAATCAGACTACAGCTTCCACGCCTGTTCATAAGTATAAGATGTGTTTGGGTGTTGGTACACTTGTAGAATTTTATATCCATAGTGGAAGCACTACTAATGTGACTGGTCCTCTTTCGTCGGGATTTGTGTCAGAAGCAACACCACGTTGCCTGCTCTCGTGCCTGACATCACTGCTTACATACTGAAGGGGGCCACGTAAGTGGTCAAGGTATCACCAGTGACCAGTTTAATTTCAATATCAATTTTCAGTTTAATAACATTTATTCCCATAATTCTATGTATGGGATATGACAAAACTTTGTTTTTTGGTTATTTTTGGTCAGAAAAAGTTCTGAGCACACATCCACCGCAACTGAATAAAAGATGCTAGCTGCCACAATTTAACACATTTTCCTGTCGGCAAACGTGGTCTTTGAAAATCCTCTGATTTATCACAGACTTGGCAGCTACCTTTCATCTACATGTTACTTCTTACAGTTGAAGCCTCAGTCACCTGTGAGCAGCCTTCCAACACAACTTGGTCAACAGTCATCTACAGGTTTGCCAATCATTTCAACATTACACAATTGTTTTCGTTCATCAGTGGTGGAAATTCAGAGACACTCTGAAGTAAAAATACAACAGCATGTATGACAAACCCCCCAAATTATACAAATCTTCTTTACATCCCTCATTTTAACAGTCGACTGAAAAGACCCTCTAACTGCGATGCAATCTTTCACACAGGCTATAAATTTTGGGACAACTTTAACCCCTTGGGGTCTGTAAAAATGCCTATTGCAGTTTAATGGAGGATTTTCACTGTAGGACTGTTTTCAGGCAAAATAAACCAGTTGAGCAGCTAGGTTAAAACTCACTTTCCAGGAGCCATGGACACAGGTGATATTGTGCAAGTTACCTGGTTCACATATGCAGTGGTGTGTGCTGTTTCCAGTGGGCAGACATTGTGCACTGTTCTGGCACGGCTCAGCTGAGCAGATGTCTAAAGCCATCTCACAAAACTGTCCTGTGTAGCCTGGAGCACAGCGACAGGAATAACGGTTGGCCTGTGGGTAAGGACACAAACAACCACAGGGAATGGTCAGGTCTGTGGAAAAACACATTACTGATGGGCATCAGACGAAAGCTCTATCTTTGAAGGTGGTAACTCAGAGAGAAAGAACAGAAAGAACTGAGAATCTTGAGCTTGTGGTGCAAAATGTGGAGAAGGGAAGTAAAAGAAACTGAAGTAGAATGCACAGGCTCTTAAGAAAGGAAGACTGAAGGTTACCTAAGCTTAGGGCATAATGTTAGGTATAAAAAGTCAGAAGGGATCCCAATTTCAAAGATAAAAAGCAGAATATTTCTCCACAAAGCACAAATAAAACTCATGCTTAAAGCTAGACTTCATGACAAAGTACATAAACACATACATATGGGGCATTACAGATCGTGTCAATCCCTTTTACGATATCATTTTATATCCTCACCTGATCAACACAGCTCGCTCCATTCAGACACTGATGGTTAACGCAATCATCAATATTAGTCTGGCACAGTATTCCTTCAAACCCAGCCTGACACTGACAATCAAAGCCATTGGCAGTCAAGTTACAAGACCCACCATGCCTGCAGGGATTGGGCTGACAGTAACCGGTGTCAATTTGGCACAATGTACCTTTTGTACCGCCCTTGCACTCACAGATGAACCTGTTGATCCCATCAATGCAGACTCCTTTATTGTGACAAGGGTTACTCAGACATTCATTGATGTTGATCTCACAGTTCTGTCCTGAGAAGCCAGGCAGGCACTGACATGTGAAGGACTGTACGCCATCGATG